CTGCTACTGCGCGGTCTGGCGCTCGTGATACTAACATAATGTTTGATGATAACACTCTCATAATCATGGTGCCACTGCGGAGAAACTTTTCCGGCACACATACAGTAGTAGTACCTCTTGTTTATCGAAATAAAGCAGGCGGAGGTGTATATTCGTTTAATCAAAATTTCTGTTAAGAAGCAAATGTCAATTTTTAAAGTTAAAGGTTTAATGAAATTCACTTGTTCAGCTTAAATAATGGTGTAATATAAATTTACGTGTATGTAGACATGCCATTTTTATACAACTGCAGAACGTCTACTGTATTTGGAAAATATCCTTTATTCTTATGTTTCGTCTTCCGACGCCGTTTTCTAGCGGCAATATCTCGCCATCGCTTCGTCAATGAAAGGTCTGCAGGCCTAGCTCCTGTTCCACAAACCTCCAGGCAATTTAAAACAGTTCAATAATTACGCACAGACTCTAAATTAATAGAATACCGTAAAAAGCTTAATATCGTAACACAAAAAATAAGCATAATAAAAATAGTTGTATACATAGAGTAGAGATATCTCTCCTTTATGGTTGTATATCTCCATGGCACTTACGATCTCCTCAGCGGTGTCATTGCTGCCCTGTACATTCTCGTCCTCGTCGACTGCTTCGTTATTTTCATAGTTCGAGAAAACCATATCCACACTGTCTTGTTCGGCGAAATCGGGGTCTGACTCATCAAAATATACCCACTCGCGCAAATATTCACATTGATCTATTCACATCCTGGTATTTTTAAACTAAACTGAAGATTTGGGGCAATTTCATTGTCTTTAAATCCCATCAAAAAGATTTCTCTGCGTTTCTCTCTCCCCCTCTCTCTCTCTCTCTTTCTCTCTTTCTCTTTCTCTCTCTCTCTCTCTCTCTCTCTCTCTCTTAACTCTCTCTTTCCTTCTTTTTAATATAAATAAAAAGAGATAAAAATATGCTTAAGTATATCACTTTGTATAAAATAAAGTGTTCAGCGAATATGCTCTCACTAATTTAAAGGCCACAGCCTCCCTCATCCATTTTCTCTCTAAACTAGCCTTTCCGGGCGGACGTAGGCTCGGGCTTCGGTTGAAAGCGATAAGACTAGTAGAACGCCGGTTGCGGCACGATGCCGCTCCTTGTAAAATGCCGACAGCAGCTGAAGTCGGAGCAGTTTCTAGCGTTCTACTGACGCAAGAATACACCAAAGGGTCTGTTCGGAGAGGGGCGAACTCATGGAAATGTTAGGCAACTGTCGACAGGAAATATTAAATATATTCGAAAACAGAATGGAAATTTTTCAAAATTGCAATCTATAATACATTTCTGACAAATCTTGATCACATTTAATTTATTCCATAAATGAGATATTTAGTAATATTTTTAAACAATTTGTAGTCCGGGTGTATTTTCGATATTAGAAACCTATTGATAATAGATTAATTTCTGCTTATCCTCTTCGAATATCTCCGCTTGTAGATGGTGGGGAACGACAGGGAAAAGCCAGGAAGCTTGCTTCCCAATTTATCGTGACCTTTTATATGAAATGACCTATTGCCTACTTTTTGTATCGTATTTTTAAATTTTAATCACCAACTCATGAACAGTATGCTAGTTTTGTGTTATGAGAATGTATTTTTCCACAGAAAAATCTACTACCTATACACTTCCACCATAGTACGTCACATAATTTTTAGCAGTTTTCTGACGTAAATTAAAAATCATTGGCTGACTTAAAGTACGAAGTGCTTTGCGGAAGGCCATGACATGTCCGAAACGTCAGCGATCACGACACAGACACGGCTCGTCTCGGTCTTACATTAAAAATGAAATTCAAAACTCGCCATTTTACGCTATTATTTTGGATAAATTTAGCGGTATATCTGCACACTTACAGCGTCCAACTGTATGGGTAGTTGAACGATTTCTTAGGTTCAGAGCTGTAAGTGCAGATCGAAGTGCATCTGCCCTGTCAAATCATGGTTTCCGTCCTTTGGAAAAATATGATTGTGGCCCAAACTTAAAAGCATAGAGATCTAAACTGTCTCCAAAACAAGATGAAACATATGCACTTTACATATATTGCCTTGCTCATAAGATTTATCTTGGGCTTCCAGTATGTTTCTAGCTTTAGAGATTTGAAAATGTTCTGTATGATATTAAGAAGATTTTCCTTCTCTTTTAGAAATTTCACAAACATCCTACTAAAAATCAATTAAAATTCTGAAACCCTACCCAAAATTTGTGGCTAATTTTATGCTGCGGAAAAAAATTCTTCAGCATTTTCCCCAAAAATCAGGGTTGTACAAAGTGAATCAATTAACATTGGTTCTTATGGACCCGCTGATAGTAATTGTTACGTAATATTGCTTCGTACCTCATAAGACTTCCTCATAAGCTTACTTCAAAACTAAAATCAGAGCCACCGTGAGGTCGAATTGCGCATTTTCAGATTTTTAACCATTTATAAAGTTTCTTCTATATTGGAAATATTTCAAATCAGGATTGAATTTAACGCTTTATAAAATTCCGCGTTGTCCACTTGCACTCATGCCTACAAACAACTAATTCCAGAGATATTTTATTGTTTTCATCAATATTTTATGATACCACTAGAGATAAACTTGTTTCTAATTTCTGAATTGCTATTAGAATATTTACAACTTAAGGGGACTGAAAGGCTGCTCTTGATGATTTCCCCATCCAATAGTCAGTTAATAAGTGATAATAAGTTACTGCTTCCAACAACATCATTATCCTTTGTGAGTAAATTACTTCCATTGATTCATTTTGTAATTCTTCCTCACAAGGCGAATACTACCTTCCGAAATTCTTGCACGTGTGCTTCAGAATTAAACTTTATAGTAAGGCAATTGGAAAAGACTACTATTGGAATATCTCACAACTAGAAATTTATGTTAACTGTTTTTGTATATCACTGCTTTTTGAAATATGATTAGAAAAAATCCTAGAGCCTCAAATTTGTCTTAAATTTTGCCCAGAGATTCATATTTGTTTGAGATTTTTTAATTTTCTATGCACTCGCCTTTAAGAACGTGTTTAATTTGTCTTCGTACAACCCTGATTTTGGAACAAAAATGCAGTAATATTTTTTCCTTAAAATCTCAAATTAGCCTTAAAATGTGTGCAGTGTTTCATATTTCTTCTAGTTTTTTAAAAATTTTGTTTGTTTTTTAATTCGCTTATAAAAACTTGTGGTGATTGATGCTCTTTGTATAACTTAGATTTTTGGAACAAAAATGCGAGAACAATTTTTTCTAGAGCATAAAATTTTCCTTAAATTTGGGGTAGGATTTCAGAATTTTTCAGCGGTTACTACTAGATTTTGGTTTTTTATTCACCTATAAGAACCATTGCTAATAGATGATTTTAGTACAACCCTGATTTTGTAATAAAAATGCATGAGTTTTTTTCTAGAGCTTCAAATTAGTCTTAAATTTTGGATAGGGTTTCAAAATTTATATAATATATATATATTATATATAGAATTATATATATAGTATATATGTTATAAATTTATATATATATATACTAGTACTATATATATATATATATATATATATATATATATGTATATATTGTGTTTACTTGCCCATATGAAACAGTGTTCATTGTTTCTCTTTGTACAGCCCTGATTTTTGGAATAAAAATGCTGGAATATTTTTTCCTTGAGGCTCAAATTAGCCTTAAATTGTGTGTAGGGTTTTCTAATTTTTCTAAGATTTTTATATTTTGGTGTGTATTTGCCCATAAGAACCAATGCGAATTGTTTCTCTTTGTACAGCCCTAATTTATGGAATAAAAATGCCGGAATAACGTTTTCCTAGAGGCTCAAATTAGCCTTAAATTCTGGGTGTGGTTTCAGAATTTTTAATTGAGTTTTAGTTGGATTTTAGGCGGGCGCTGCTAGCTTTAGATAGCTTGATTGACATGAGTCAGGCGCGTGGGACGTGGCTCATGGGACCGCGGTGCCGCGCCTCCGATCGGCCCGCGAGGCGCTGCTATTCATTTCGATTTAGAATGTGTGAGAGTGTGGCTGGCCCTTCAGTAATAACACATTGCACAAAAGTTCTTCGAAGTGGCGAAAAACGCATCGCTCTGAAAGTTTTCAATTCTGTATTGCATAGCTATCCGTGGTTGCCGGTGGACCAAATCGCTGAACTTGCAACAGAGTTCACTGGAATATCCGTATCCAGAGTATAAAAACTCAGGAAAGGGCTCACCGACAAGCGACAACTACAAACACCAGAGAAGAAAAGAAAGCGGAAGAAACCTGTAAGTGAAGCATTTGATGACTTTGTAGTCAGTGCTGTCCGATCAAAATGAATTCCTGTTCTTTGAGAAAAGAACCATCAACACTTGCGAAATTGTGCAGCTTGTGAACAGTGATCAGGAACTTAAGAATTTTGCCGAACCAATTTTTTACAAATTATCTACAAAATCCGATTTTGCGTTTCAAAGAAGAGGGGAAAGAAATCTTATTCAGGACAAGAATGACATTTTGTGGAGACGGAGTTATTTGGAAGCAATCCCGCATTACGGTGAACAAACTAAGAAAAAATATTACTTTGATGAAACTTGGGTTTCATCTGTATCAGACATGGAAGGGATCGAATCACTTTCTAAAACAGATTGATCGTGAGTAGTTGCATGAACATAACATCTTCGACAGTTCGTATACCATATGAATTGGCCAGGGGCGAATCCACAGGGAGGGAAATGAGGGAAATTTCCCGCCCTAACTTTTTTGTGTAATTTCAACTTGTCACGAATGTTTCAAGCAACAGTATTTTAGGATAATCATTAAAACGGATAAAATCGTGCAGCATGAGCGAGCTAGTGTAGCCTATAACATTTGACATCTGTAATATGACACCTCCGACCAAAATATTTGGAATTTCCCCACCCAAAATTCGAAATAAAATAATAATAATAATAAATAATAATAATAATAATAATAATAATAATAATAATAATAATAATAATAATAATAATGATAATAATTCTCATATATCGCGCGCATTTCTTCACACACCAGTTGGATATTGTGGCCCTTTCCCTTCCCACAAGGCCCAGCGGTCGGTCTCAAGGTCATCACTGGTCAAGAGGACAAAAAAGTGGAGGAACTAGAGAAAACGGGGGAAAGAACACAACTACGTTCCTTCCTCTTCGGCGCGCCCAGAACCCCTGTCTCGAAAATGCAGAATTAGCGGGAAAAGGTTTCCCGCGAATAAAAAGTATTTAGTATGTGGTCAAAAATGTGTGTAAACGGATTGGATTCTATAACTTTAATCGTGGTATTCTGAGTTTTTATATTCAATGTTTCTAATATTAATCTTTTCTTTCTGTTGGGTTCTACCGCTAAAACACAAAACTGATCAAAATTTATTGAATGGTTTAGGTTAATTCTATGTTGGGATATTGAATTTTGCCAATTTGTAACCTCTTTGATATTTTTCCTATGTTATGTAATTCTCTGTTAAATTCTTTTCTTTGTTGGGCCAATATAATTCAACTGACAATAAATATGTCATTTATGTGAAAGGTTTTGTCAGTTTTCATTGTGGTTGTCCATAATTTCAAATAAGGGACTAAACAACAATTAAATAGAATTATATTGTAACAATCAATTTAAAACTGAATCTTAAACTAGTACAAGTCTACAGTCTACGATATGAATTAGTCTGGTTGAGAGGCTCGTTAACATATTGAAAAAAAATCAGAAGGTACGCATTACATTCGCATTTGTGAAGTAATATTCAGGCGTCTCACTTATTCTGCATGACTGATTATTAGTTCTACACGGTTGAAAATATTGAAATGTAGTTTCCGACGAACTGAATGGGGCAAGAAATGTGACGCAGAGCTATTGTTCCTAACATTCCTAACATGTTTACATTTTTGAAAAGTTGAGTCGTCTTTGGCTTTTTAAGTAAAACTTCAGTTTTTTTCACCTGCAATTCTTGATAGATATTAAAAAGAGGACTAAAATGATATAGCATTTGTTGATGTTTATATAGTAATTCAGGATAAAAAATGTGTATTTCAGCCAAGTGATTTGAACTTACAAGCAGCATTGACAATTTCCTTTTCGATGCGTTTGAAGCCATCATAACCTTTGTGCTGGAAGGCAGGCCATCCGAGAGGCTCCTTCAAGGACGCGAATTCGTCCAATAGAAATCTCAGTCGGGAAATAAGGGTGTGAGGGACAGGGGGTAGGGGGCTTCGCTGGTGTCTGGGTTGTCCGTGCGAATCAACAGTTTCACGCGGGCAGTCTCAAGGTGGAGTTGGAAGTGGTAACAGCAAAATGAGTACATACGATAATAAAGGGCTTCCACTAAGAGTGCAGGAGTCCATGAAAAAACTGTTAACATTAATGGAAAGGACTGGATACGAAATTGTCCAAATAAATGGACAGAGATTATTTGGACCACCGAAACACTGGAAAGGATCTCCACCTGCGAAAGGAAGTGAAGTTTTTGTTGGAAAGCTGCCTCGAGAGTGTTATGAAGATGAACTTGTACCTGTGTTTCAAACAGCTGGGAAAATTTACCAAATGAGGCTGATGATGGATTTTTCAGGAACAAATCGTGGATATGCGTTTATCCAATACAGTAAGCCGAGTGAAGCGAAAGCCGCGGTTAGTCGTCTAAACGGTTATCCTATCCGGCCGAACTGGAAAATATTTGTCTCTCACTCTCTCGATAATTGTCGTTTGTTTATGGGTGGCATTCCTCGTCATATTGACCCTTTGGAAATAGAGGAGGTGTTTTTTGGAACATTTGAACGTCTTGTTGATATAAAACTATACGTAAATACCAGGGATCCTAGCAGAAATCGTGGATTCGCATTTTTGGAATTTGAAAACCATCGATCTGCCGCCATGGCTAGACGAAAGTGTTATCCTTGCAAACTGCATCTGTGGGGACAACCTCTTAGTGTTGATTGGGCTCTTCCAGAACCTGAAGTGGAAGAAGGCGTTCTAACTAAGGTAAGATCTTTGAATTATATTGTAGCATTAACATATGGCATACTCTTTATTTTATATATTTTCTGGTAGTGGCTCTTTTTCAAATACATTTCTTGTGAACACTGTGAAAAATAGGGGCCCTACAGTTTATTCTTTCATGACGTGCACTGATGTGCTTGATTAATCATTGAAAATTTCTGAATAATTGAGTATTTACGTCTTTACTAATTCATCTTTCCCCTCATATTTTAAAGAGCCATCACGCTTTTATTGTGTATTGAAAAATGAATATTGTTTCCAGTTGTATGGGAATAAAGTATGCCTATTGTTATTGCATTATCAGTCGGTCGATCGGGCGGTCGTGCGAGTACTCGTGATCCGCATATGTCATTGTTGCAATGGGTCACATCGCGCCGGCATGCAAACGGGTCCCCTGATTCATTTGAGTATTCATTTCAGTCGGATACCTTTATTAATAATGTACCCGTAGCATACCGATCGCCCCCTATCATTCGGGATTGTTATAGGAAGAGAGAGATTCCGTTGAAAGTTGTAATTGCAAATAAAGGAGCCCAAAATTAGAACGTAATATCCGGTTAGGCAAAAATGAAATAAACAAACCGAGATAAGCCTGTAAAGCATCTCCTCTCCAATATGTTGCTCTCCTGAATGTTTACGGAAATACGCCTAGCTGAACCCAAGGATATTTCACTTTGCGAATATCAGTCATCGAATGTTGTTATTTCTGTCAACATAAAGAAAGACTATTCTAGCCTCTTTCGACCCGATGGAACTCTAAAAGTACTCTGCGCGTACGCGCGTTCGTTACAACTCTGTAATCGTTCGTCAGAAGGAAGCGTTTTCGCGACGGCCCCGCTGGCCGTTGCTCGCCACCCGAGCCACGCGCGCCCTCTCTGGTGAGCGGGCATGACCCTGATACCTACGCAGGGCGCTTGTTCCTGCTGACATACGATTCTCCGACGTGCATAGGGCGCTTGTTCCTTCTATCAGACGAACGGATCGTGCTGCGTCCACGCAAGCGATATTGTATCCTTCGATTTTACGGAAGTGGCCCAAGACATTTGGTCATTATTACACCACTTGCCGTGTAAAATAAATCTTTTTGACAGTGGTAAGCACATTTTGGAGGGCACAAGCCCTGTTGAGAAGGACGTTTGCGAATTAATTAAAAATATTATTTTTATAAGGCAGGAGGGGTAACAGTAACTCGCGAATTAATTAAAAAGGTTAATTTTATAAGGCAGGAGGTGTAACAATAACCTAATGTCGTCGGCCACTATACAAAAATCGAAGTACAGTTATTGGCGTCTTTTACAGTTCTCACTCAGGGGTCGATTATAAATTACGTAACGAAAATTTGGAGTATTGTGAATATTCCTCTTCTTCATCAATCGCACCTGTAACCCGCACTTGAACCACTCAAATAATTGCAAAACGCTTGCGTCAACATCTACCATTTACAATAAGTAAAAATAAAGAGTATAGCAGCTAAACAAGATAATTTCGAACAGCAGGGTAGATAAAAATAACGCACGTGAAGCGGTGTACAGCAAAATTTAATATGATTGTATACTCATTTTTACACCGAGAACGCACAATGGGCTCTTATGGACAATGTTATTCTTATAGAAGAATCTCGTGCACTGTTGCCGAAACAATTGTTGCAAAAGTAAGTAGACAACATATAGTCCTGTAAAGAAAATGATGAACACGATGGTAATCATAAAAAATGTGTCCTTCAGTTGCTTTTTGAATAAAATAATGAAAACACTGGGATTCTCGGGAACTGACTTTATTAAAACCGTTGAATCATGTCTCAAAATTGGTGGAATTATTTTGGAAAAAATCAATAAAAATAAATGCAATACTTGAGTTACCATAGCTGGTATCAGTGCATTAATATTTTTTTTAAATTTATTTTCTTCCTGTTCCGCAGTTTTGGCTTTCAGGAGGTGGTACATTTTTACTTTTAATACATAGTATTTGGGGATACAACATCTCACACTTGTATCTTACTACTAGCTAATTTACATGATTTCATACTTCTATTTTAATACTAACATATCTCTACAATTTACACATAATACTCAAATTTTTACTATGCAATATTAATTCTTAAATTTAGATACTCTCTAAACAAAATTATCTTAATATTGAAATGAAAAATTTCTAATTTTTTTTAACATATATTCTTATAGTGGATATTTATTTTCATGGGGGTTTTAACATATCATTCGGATATCTTGACCGTATTCTCTTGGGTGTGTTTAATGCCATTGTAAATTTTATACTGCGAGGAGAAGATGGAAGACATGTAAAACAATTGTCAAAGTTATTTCTTTTATTGGTCACATGCTGCTTTAACCCTTGTTAACATATGTTTGTTAAGTGCACTTCTACGTACCTGTAGGTTAAGAAATTTAAAATTCTTAGCAACGGGTTTTAATATCTTCAGTAACCTAAATAAACATCTTCTGTAATCACGGCTACGTGATTTTGTAATTGCCAAGTTTTAAATTATTCGTATGCCTTCTCGTATCGTGCTTTAGTTTTTCAGGAATTAAATCTCGCGTGGCTTCCACAACTGCATCCAAAATTTCTTGAGGTACAGACGAATTTTCAGGGTCCATTTCCCTCGAGCCACGGTATATAAGTGTATTGTTGAATTATATATATCACAATCAACACCCAACAATATCGATTATCGTGCCGCAACAACGGAATACATATGTTTCATATCGCAGCAATGTCGTAAATTTTCTTAAAAAAAAAAAAAAAATATTTTTCTGTTGTAATTAGTGTTTATATTTATTTGCCGTTCCCGTCTCAGTTTTCGTTTTTCATGAATCAGATTCAATAGTTGTTTAGGTAAATTCATATAGGGTCTGTGGGCTGAAGGGGATGATACAATACTTTTATCTAAGTTTTTTATGAATTGAATTGTTTATTCTGGTTATCTCTGATTCAAGTTGGGCATCATTGTTAATTGAATTTGGAAATTCTAGGTTTTGAGACTTCGCGAAATTTATTCCAGTTGATGTTTTTGTTTATTGGTTTACTTATGTTGTTTGTTATTGAAATTTTGCCTAGGAAAGAGCCAATAACCGGATTATGATGCGAATCTAGATCCGTAACAACCGTGTGATAAATTGGGAAATTGATTCCTTGGGAGATTATTATATCTACGATATCTGGGGTGATTCTATTGTAACGGCAGTGAATTGGTTCACTGCGTTCTTGGATATCTAAATTGTTAGTTATTAATTGTAATAGCTTTCTACCTTGTGATGAGGTTGAATTGCAACCCCAAGCTGTGTTTTTACTATTTAGGTTTCCTATTTTAAAAACTTTCGAATGCTTCCGGAGAATATTTTTATGAATGACTTGTGGGAAAGCGTAGTTTGGTGGTTTATACGCTGATACAATCACGATTTCCTCAATATTATCGTGTGTTAAAATTGCTATCGTTTCTAGATTTTTGTCAGATCTATTTATATCTATACTTTTATGAATTATCTTTAATACTTTTGTGAACTACGGTTTCAACTCCTCCCGAAGCACAATGTGCTAATCTATGGTTTCTATATATTGCGTATCCATTAACTTTAAATTTTTCACCTGGCAGTAAATGGGTTTCGGTTATGCAAACAATTTTTATTTTATTATCATTTAAAAAGTGGGCGAACAAATTTGTTAGTCGTTTTATGCCATTGGCATTCCAGTTTAATAACCTCAATTCATCATTATTATTTAATGCCATTAATAAGAGCAGGAACTAAAGATTGAATCATTATTTGTAACTGAGCAACTATTATTGCTAATATTTGGTCTACTATTGTTCTAATTAAATTGAAATTGTTTGCATTAGGGTTTTGGGTTCTCCAATTTGAATTTGGATTTTCGTAATTTGGAGAACGCAAAGGCATGTTTACTTTAGGCAGTGGGGGAAAGTTTTGAATGTTATCAGCAGGTGGCGGCCTCCTTGGAAGTTGCATACTCCGAGTGGTTGTATTGGAAATTTGAGCACTGTCAAGACCTTGCCATTGTACTCGTCCACTTTCTGCCTCTTTAAATTTTTGGCACACTTTATCCACGCATCCACACTTTAATTGCAGAATAAAATAATTTAGTGTCATTAAATATTGATTTATCATTTTCAGTTTCCAATAAATCTACAGCACAGGACCATAGAAGTTATCTATTTTTGTTATATAGCCTTGTTGCGCCGGTTACTGGGTACGTACGTCCTGCTAATTCATCAAATATTTCATTCTGAGAGTAAACTTCAGGTATACCATAAATTATAACTGAGAGCTTACAATGATAAGGATCTCTGAAAGAATATTGTATATTATTTTCATCACAAAGTTTTCTGTAACCTTTGTAGTCTTCAATTGTTACAGAGTTCACTTTGTAAAAAAAATTTTGTTGTTTAATAGTAAAATCGTTTTTTGCTACTTTTTTAATACCACTATATGGAAGTAGAAATCCGTAGCCGTTAACATTATGGATGAATATTGGTGGAAGTTTTACAGTTTTATCACTTTCAGAATTAGCACGATTGTCTTAAGTTCGAAACAATTCATAGCGTGAACTTACTGGTATGTTGCACCTCATATTCTCCTCTGTTCCGTGGTCAAAACCAAACCTTTTCCTCTTGTTTGAATCGTTGCCGATGAAACTCAAGTTCTGTGATGAGTTTTCCTGATGTTCACCCACTAATGAAGGCGGTGGCGGTGGAAAGGCGCCCAGTGATGATGAGAATGATGGGAACCCCTGTCCGTAGAATTCACCGCCACTTCCATTGACAGCACAATTAACCCTGAGGTTTCAAGTAGCCCCCGGAAGGGGCACTATCCACACTTGTGTTGACAGATAAATCGTTGCCCTATGTTAAGTAATTACTAATTTAAGTTGTGAATACACTGGAGCGCGGCGGCCCGTGCAGGTCGAGAGCGCACTGACAACGCTGCCTCAATGTAAGATAAGAGCTGTTCTCC